ATACCTTTCACTTATTACTTTGTTAAAGACTCTTCTTTTTCCTCCTCCATTACATTCTCCAGTTCTTCTTTCTTCTTTATTATTTTCTGCATTATCTTCTTAGATCTTTCCCTTTTATGAGCCTGTTCAAGATCATATATTTCATTTAGCAATCTATATTAATCTTTTCTCTCCTTTCTTTTTTCTTTTTTTCCCCTATTGCAATGAGTAGTCCTCTAATGTAGGCTTTGTGGGCTTCCCATACTGTTGCAACCGACACATCCTCTGTTTCATTCTCCTCAAAAAACCATTTAATTTCCCTCTCGATTTTTCGATCGATCTCTTCATCCATAAGGAGTGCCTCATTCATCCACCAGACATAACCTTCTCTCTCCTCTCTACCCCATCTTGACTTCATTGCAACAGGGGCATGATCTGACAGAGTACTTCTCCGCCATTTTTTTACTTCTACTACAGAACTCTAAAAATCAATGTTCTACCAATATCTAATCCAATCTAGAATAAGTCTCATGTACATGTGAAAAAAAAGTATAATCTCTATCTTTCATATTCCTAATTCTCCATATATCCACTAATTGACACTCATGCATCAGTTTATTTAATAGTCTTAAGGGACCTACTCTCCTCCTTCCTCACACAGGAAAGTAGTATCCATCCGCGGGTCCATACAGACATTAAAGTCTCCAGCTATTATCATACACCCCCTTTTGAAGTCCATCAATCTCTTCAGTACTCCTCTCAAAAATGTCTCCAGGCTTCTTATTTGGACAATATTGGCTATTGTACACTCAATTTCCTGTAGTTTACCTCTCAAAAACAAAAACCTCCCTCCGGATCCGTTATTCTCTTCTCCCACCTCAAACCTTATATTCTTTGCAAAACCTATAGAAACCCCTTTTGCTCTTTTAATTGGTGAGTCCGCGTAATACCATGTCGGGAAATATCTAGTTCTTCAGCCTAACCTTTGACTCCATTTCTAAGCGTGTTTCCTGCAAAAATACCACCGAAGATGTTCTGTATTGTAGTTCTTTAAATAACCTGAATCTCTTCCCAGGGCAACACAACCCCTTCATTATAGGTTAATAAAATTGGATTTCTTCCATCATACCCTACTCCTCTTAACTCCTTCTTCCTCCTTCCCTTCCTCTTTCTTGTTTCTCTTATCCCGTAGAGTGCTATTGTCCCACTACTCTTTTTTCTGACCTTATCCCTCTACCCCTCTCCCAGTTAACCTCTTCCGCCCCTCTCCTCCCCCCCATCCGCACCCATTGCCCCTTCCCTCCCCCTCCTCCCCCCCCACCCCTCCCCTCCCTCCCCCCTCTTTTTAGGCCTTCAATTTGCCTAACAATCATTTGTGGAAATAAGATCCACCTTTGATTTAATCCTTAGGGCTACACTCCTCCCATGGATGACTTCCCCTCTATCCATCCCCCCCCCCCCCACTGACCCCCAGTTTCTACAGAGACATCTCAAAAATGGAGATAGGTCCGGAAAGGAGAGGGAAGAAGAGGAAGAGGAGAAAAAAAAAAGGTTCTCTCCCTTTCTATCCCCCCCCCCCCCTCCTCCCCCCTACAAGCTGCCAATCTTCTTTTATTTTAATCTAATTTCCCCATGTTCTTCTTCCCAATCAACGATTTCCATTCTTTGCAGTTCGAGTCTATCACAGAAATTTCTCAAGTCCTCTGGGAACCTCAATCAAGCTGTAATTCCATTCTTCCATCCTATTAGGCACTCCGATGTCCGCCATCTATATATCTATATTGCACATTCTTTTTTTTCATCTGTTCTCACAAAGGTCTCAGGGCTCTCCTTCTCCACAAAGTCTCCGGTGATAAATCCGCAAATATCTGAATGTCCATTTCTCCATATTTAATTACTGGTTTTCCCTTAGTTTTCCTCCAGATTTTTTCTTTATCTTGAAGCTCATAGAATTTAACCAGTATATCTATCGGCCTTTCCTTCCCAAGATTCCCATGGAGTTTCCCTTTTCTAGAAATTCCTTCTATTTTAGTCCTTTCCATATCAGAATCTTCCATTATAGAGTTTAGTATTTTACAAACTACCTCATACAATATTTCTCCTTTTGGGTTTTCTGGAACCCCCTCATATCCTGATATTTCTCCTCCTATCTCTATTCTCTTGTATCTCCGCCTTATGCAGCAATTTTTCCTGAACCTTTCCCCATACTGATTATCTTCTTTTCTAATTCGGAAATAACTTGGGTCTGTTTTTTTAACTTTCTCCTCCGTTTCTTCCACTCTTATCAGCAGCTGCCCCAAATCATTCCGAATATTTACCATTTCTTGCTTTATTGTTCTCTCCACTTCTTTAAACATTTCTGCCATTTCTTTTTTGTTTGGTATTTGTAGATCTTTTTCCAACTCTATATTTTCTGATATTTGTTGACTACTAATATCCAGGTCCAATGATTGTCTAGGGCTACTTTGCAGACTAAGGTCTATTTCTCCTTTTTCATTCATACTCTAGGGGCCTTTTCTGAGGTCATGTTTCCCTGGGACGTGTATTTTTTAATTGTGCCAGTTTTGGGTCCCTTTAACCCCACTTCCTTTAGCACTTTTATTTTTCATTTCTTCTGTGGCTTTTATTTTCCTTTATAGGCTCGTGGTTAGAAAGAGACAGCTATTAATATACAAGTCCCAGCCCTGTCTATTCACTTTTTCTTAGCTTTTCCTTCACCGATCTTCTTCTCCTTATTTATATTCTCTGGGGTCCCCCCTTTCTCTCGCACTCTGCTTTCCCCCACCAACTCAATACAGGATATGTTATATGTGAAGCCTCAGACAGACTCACTCACCCTCCTTGCACTTCTCTTCTTGTGAGACGGCTCCAGGCTCCCTCCTTCAGTCCTTCCAGCAGGTCAGCTTCTCATCTTCTCCTCTCAGGGGACTCCCCAGGGTTTTCCTCTGCTCCCTCTCTCTTCGGGCCACATTGTCTCTCTCCTCTCCGCAGCACTCCAGCAGGGCTCCGGGGCAGCTGGCCGGCAAGCAGATCAGCATCTCTCTCTCTCCCCGTCAGACGCCGGCTTCCTCCCCTCCCAGCGATGCACAGCGGCCGACCTCGTGGTCACTGGCCGCTCCTCCTCGTCTCCCGGCAACCAGGCACGCTGTCACCGCATGGCTCCACACCACTGGTCTCCGACTCCCGGATCTCCCCTCCTGCGGGCCACCACTCATCCAAAGGTGCCCCTTAAGCAGAGGTAGGTCTCACCCTGCAGGCTCCCGCATATCAAAGGAGCTGGGGGCCCTGGGGGGGGTTGGGACAGAGGAGCCTCATTCGAGAGCTCCTACATCGGGCTCTCCTCAGCCGCCATAGTCAGGCTCCGCCCCACAAGTTGATGGACAACGCCTCTGGCTGAGTTGCTGTTGTTCCCAGTTGCTTCCACTTTGTTATAACACCACTACCAGTTGAAAGTGGAATATTTAATAGCAAGGAAATTTCATAGATTGCACAGGTTGCCACACTTGAATGCACTGAGGTCTTGAGAGCGACCCCATTCTTTCACAAATGTTTGTAGAAGCAGTCTTCATGCCTAGAGTGCTTGATTTTATATACACCTGTGGTCATGGAAGTGATTGGAACACCTGAATCCAATGATTTGGAGGGGTGTCCCAATACTTTGGCAATATAGTGTACAGTCCACATTAATAATTATGCAAACCAAAATGTGTGTGTGCTGTAAATTGTCTGCTGCATTGTTCCTGTTTCTTCTTGCCACAGGCTGCCATATTGCTGAAGCCAAGAGCCCCTGAGCAGCAGTAAATCTTTAGGATGTCAGCAGATCGGCCTCTACATTTTCATCAGTCTCAAAAAAATAGTAAGCAACTGAGCATGTACCGTGCAGGGTGAGACTAGAGATGAGAAGGTTTCGGGGGTAAAACACGGGAAAAAAATGAGAAAAAAGTTTATTTTTCCATTTTATTCAAAGCTGATTTTTTGGGGTTGTTTCCCGGAAAAATTGGGGGAAAAATGAAGTGTGGAATATGATCTTTTACAATGATAAATTATATATCTATGACATGGTATTTAAACTGTATAACATGAAGACCTTAATGAAAGATTTCTGAGACTTTATGTAGTCTTAAATTATTGCAAATGCTCTCTAAGAAACAAAAAAAAAAGAATCATGAATTTTCATATACCGTATTTTTCGCTCCATAAGACGCGCCTAGGTTTTAGAGGAGAAAAACAAGAAAAAAAATATTCTGAACCAATGGACTGCAGACACAGTACAGTGAATGACCAGAGACTGCGGACACAGTACAGGGGATGACCAGAGACTGCGGACATAGTACAGGGGATGACCAGAGACTGCGGACACAGTACAGGAGATGACCAGAGACTGCGGACATAGTACAGGAGATGACCAGAGACTGCGGACACAGTACAGGGAATGACCAGAAGACTGCGGACATAGTACAGGGAATGACCAGAGACTGCGGACACAGTACAGGGAATGACCAGAGACTGCGGACACAGTACAGGAGATGACCAGAGACTGCGGACACAGTACAGGAGATGACCAGAGACTGCGGACACAGTACAGGGAATGACCAGAGACTGCGGACACAGTACAGGAGATGACCAGAGACTGCGGACACAGTACAGGGAATGACCAGAGACTGCGGACATAGTACAGGGAATGACCAGAGACTGCGGACACAGTACAGGGAATGACCAGAGACTGCGGACACAGTACAGGAGATGACCAGAGACTGCGGACACAGTACAGGGAATGACCAGAGACTGTGGACATAGTACAGGAGATGACCAGAGACTGCAGACAGTGCAGGAGATGACCAGAGACTGCGGACACAGTACAGGGGATGACCAGAGACTGCGGACACAGTACAGGGGATGACCAGAGACTGTGGACACAGTACAGGAGATGACCAGAGACTGCGAACACAGTACAGGAGATGACCAGAGACTGCGGACACAGTACAGGAGATGACCAGAGACTGCGGACACAGTACAGGAGATGACCAGAGACTGCGGACAGTACAGGGGATGACCAGGGACTGCGGACATAGTACAGATGACCAGAGACTGCAGACAGTGCAGGAGATGACCAGAGACTGCGGACACAGTACAGGGAATGACCAGAGACTGTGGACATAGAACAGGAGATGACCAGAGACTGCAGACAGTGCAGGAGATGACCAGAGACTGCGGGACACAGTACAGGGGATGACCAGAGACTGCGGACACAGTACAGGGGATGACCAGAGACTGTGGACACAGTACAGGAGATGACCAGAGACTGCGGACACAGTACAGGAGATGACCAGAGACTGCGGACACAGTACAGGAGATGACCAGAGACTGCGGACACAGTACAGGAGATGACCAGAGACTGCGGACAGTACAGGGGATGACCAGGGACTGCGGACATAGTACAGATGACCAGAGACTGCAGACAGTGCAGGGGATGACCAGAGACTGCAGACAGTAAAGGAGATTACCAGAGACTGCAGACCTTTGGGGAGGGAGAGGGAGCGGGTACCTGAATTTGACAGGTACCCGCTCCCACTTCCGCGGAGTTGTCCTTCCTTCTTCTTCCCGCGGCGGCTTCTGTGCCCACTGCGCATGTGCGAGAAGCACTGCGCTTTGTGAATGGCCCGGAGCCTTCTGGGACCTGTCATGTATCCCAGAAGACGCCGGACCATTCACAAAGTGCAGCGCTTCTCGCGCATGTGCAGTGAGCACCCGGCTGTCACAGAAGCCGCAGCGGGAAGACTGCAGCGCTGGAGCGAGGAACAGGTAAGGTCCTGCAGGAGAGAAGAGCTGAGCGGGCCGGCCCGATATTCCAACATGGTGGCGGCAGAAATATCGGACCGGCCGCTTTACATTCACTCCATAAGACGCACTGACATTTTCCCCCCTTTTTTGGGGGAAAAAAGTGCGTCTTATGGAGCGAAAAATACGGTACCTTAACAAATAGTAAATCCACAGGTTCTCAAAATTCCACTATATATTACAGATCAAAAACATTTGATTATTGCATTTACCCACTATATCTACTCGGCTCTCTGCTAAAGAGAAAAAATAACCACTTAGGTGTCCATTTATGAATCAGCAGGAAATCACCTCTGATATATTGCTGGCATTCTCCGAGTAAACTGTTCTACTTTCAGTGCTGTTTTATGAAGCTATATTGCTTCTGTTCAGGAGAACAGAAGCGATGTACAGACGTTCAGAATGCTTCAGACTGAATGCAAGGCTGTAGTCTCGGGAGAAATCACAAGGTTACAGTTTTGTTAATAAGAAAATCATGAAACACTACATATAATACGCTTCATTAAAGTCACATATTACAAATACACTCCCCCCCCTTATTTTAAAACCTAACTTTTATTAAAATTTTAAACAATAATTAGACATGTGGTTTTAATCTTATGACCGGAGTATAGTGAAATGGTTGATCCTGCATCTGTCAACCACCTATACACCAGTCATAAAAATTTAAAATTCAATGTAAATATAAGTTAAATAAGTCAAATACATTTTTTAAAATTAATAATATTGAATTCTAAATAAAAAAAAGTTAAATGAGATTCCTCTGTGTAATAAAATGGAACTGTCTATGAGTTTGAACCATACCTTAGGGGGGTTGAAAAAATTAAAATAAAATAAAATATAAAAATAAAAAATGTATGAAAAATATAGCAAACATTTTTTTAAAAATTACAATAAAATGAAATCATAACACACACACACACACACACACATATATATGCTCTCAATCAAACTCATCCAATAATAGAAACATGGTGCACGCCTGTGGAAGTTTATGGAAAAATAACATTTTTATTATTTGAGGGTTAGTAATTGTAGAGTATGGAGAGCATGGAGGGTTTAAAGAAATAATGAATGGCCAAGTTCAGCCATGCTCAAAATTGCATTCTAGTGTCAAGGGTTGTGAACAACTGGGACCGATTCTATGGATCCCGTTCCAGAACCTTATCACATTCCAAAAAAGAGGAGATCTGGAATTACAATGAAGGCAATAAGACAATGCTTCTGTTTGATGATGAAGGTAGGTAATTATATGTAATATTTTTTTTTAAATGCTTGCTGCCCACCCAGAGAACATTTACTGTGGGCAGGCAGCATGGACATGCTGGATCATGTACATGCATGTCATCCATCCTGCTCCTGTTTAACCAGTTCCCGCCTGGGCAATATCAAAATGACAGTAGAGCGGAACTTGAATTGATCCAGGTGGGCGTCATATGACATCCTGGAGCGCTGCGGCAAGATCTGTTGCCGTTACCATGTAACCTCTGTGACCAATCACAGTAGGTCACATGACAATTGTAAACAATAGATGGCTTCCTTTTATGCCCTCCATTGTATGCAATTGGTCACAGCAGTCACATGGTACAGACTGGGCCAATCACAGTCCATCTGTGTCATGTGATTTTCTGTGGCCAATCACAGCTAAAGCACAACAAAAAACACTGAATGAATCGATTTCATTCAGTAAATGCTTGCCTATAGCTGTGAAAAAAAAAAGATCTCTTCCCTAGAGAATTACAATGTTACTATGGTAATATTATATTACCATGTTAACAGTGTTATAAAATGAAAAATGTTCCAAAAAAGTAATAAGAAAAATATAATTAAATTTGAAAAAAAATTGTTTTTTTTTTTTTTTTGCATACTGTCACCAGTCAATGCTTCTGATCACCACCACGCTATACTGCATTAGTGACAGTATGTTAAAAAAAATGGGGAATAACATTTTTAATTTAATTTCTTTATTTTCCGAAAAATAATGACAAAAAATTACAACTTCAAAAAACACGCCACGGCACTTACTAGATATCACCCAAAATACTGCAGGCTGGTATTTTGGGTGATATCTGTACCGTCCTGACATTTTTGGTATGCAGGAAATGAGATAGGTCATCACTACAGCAGGATTGATCGATTTACAGATATATAACATAGTTTGTGCACTCTATAAATTTCCTACACACAATACTGTAAATACTGATTTGGATTATTTTCAACAAAGAAATGTAGCAGTAAATGCATGCCCAGGGTGCACATGTATATTTAAACTGAATTCGTAATAACCATGTGACATATGCATATTCTGCGAATGTCAGAGTTAGAGCAATAATTGTATCACAGGAGCTCACAGTTCATTCTAAACTGATGAGCCTTAAAGACTTTTAAAACATCATTTTTTTTTAGTGTACTGTAGTTTTTTGCGATATCGCGTGTACACTCAATTTTAAGACTTGGCATGTTTGGTATCTACAGTTGCAAGAAAAAGTATGTGAACCCCTTGGGATTACGTGGAGTTTTGCATGATTTGGGCATAAAATGTGCTCTGAACGTCAGCTAAGTCACAACAATAGAAGAACACAGTCTGCTGAACATAATACTACACAAACATTAGATGTTGCCATGGTTTAATTGCACATAACATGTAAACATTCACAGTGCAGGGAGGAAAAAGTATGTGAACCTTTGGACTTAATAACTGGTTGACCCTCCTTTGGCAGCAATAACCTCAACCAAACGTTTCCTGTAGTTGCAGATCAGACCTGCACAATGATCTGGAGTAATTTTGGACCACTCCTCTTCACAAAACTGTTTCAGTGTAGCAATATTCTTGGGATGTCTGGTGTGAATCGCTCTCTTAAGGTCATGCCACAGCATTTCAATCGGGTTGAGGTCAGGACTCTGACTGGGCCACTCCAGAAGGCGTATTCTGTGCTGTTGCAGCCATTGTTTTGTTGAATTACTTGTATGCTTTGGGTCATTGTCCTGTTGCATCACCCATCCCCTGTGGAGCTTCAGTTGGCGGACAGATGGTCGTACGTTTTCCTGCAAAATGTCTTGATAAACTCTGGAATTCATTTTCCCATCAATGACAACAATCCGTCCAGGCCCTGAGGCAGCAAAGCAGCCCCAAACCATGATGTTCCCTCCGCCATGTTTTACAGTGGGGATGAGGTTTTGATGTTGGTGTGCTGTGCCTTTTTTTTCTCCACACATAGTGTTGTGTGTTCTTCCCAAACAACTCAATCTTGGTTTCATCTGTCCACAGTATATTTTGCCAGTAGTGCTGTGGAACATTCAGGTGTTCTTTTGCAAACTTCAAACGTGCTGCAATATTCTTTTTGGACAGCAGTGGCTTCCTCCGTGGTGTCCCTCCCATGTACTCCATTCTTGTTTAATGTTTTCCTTATTGTAGATGTGTCAACAAAAATGTTAGCATGTGCCAGAGATTTCTGTAGGTCTTTAGCTGACACTCTGGGATTCTTCTTTACCTCATGCAGCATTCTGCGCTGTGCTCTTGCAGTCATTTTTACAGGATGACCACGCCTAGAGATTAGCAACAGTGCTAAACTTTCTCCATTTGTAGACAGTCTGTCTTACTGTGGACACATGAACATCAAGGCTTTTGGAGATACTTTTGTAACCCTTTCCAGCTTCATGCAAGTCAACAATTCTTGATCGTAGGTCTTCTGAGAGCTCTTTTCTGTGAGGCATGGTTTCACATCAGACAGTGCTTCTTGAAACCAGTAAACTCAAAACAGGTGTGTGTTTTTTAAGGGCAGGACAGCTGTCAGCAACACATCCAATATCATCACACTGATTGGAGTCAAGGTTGGCTCACTCCTGGCTCCAATTAGCTCTGGGAGAAGTCATTAAGCTAGGGCCTCACATACTTTTTCCTCCCTGCACTGTGAATGTTTACATGTTATGTGCAATTAAACCATGGCAACATCTAATGCTTGTGTAGTATTATGTTCAGCAGACTGTGTTCTTCTATTGTTGTGACTTAGATGACGTTCAGAGCACATTTTATGCCCAATTCATGCAAAACTCCACGTAATCCCAAGGGGTTCACATACTTTTTCTTGCAACTGTATGTACTTAACACAACCACATCCTTTATAGTTTACCAAGCAATGCATATTAAATTGTGTGCGTTTGGACTAAAAATCATTTTATTAAATGTTTTCCAGAAAAGTGTTGTTTAATAAACAGTTGTGCAAATGTCAGGTGACATTAAAATTTCAACTTTCTTCTCACAGGATCTCTGCTTTTATAAAATGAACCATGACTCTTCTCTTCTATACTCCCTTTTTGACATTCTTGGCCTTCTCTTTTATGAGTGTCCTCATTGGAAGCCAGTTCCTTTTGATCCGCACCTGCATGCTCACTTTGAAGTTGGACTTTGTGCATTGATGTTGTTGTGTCATAGTGTCACTCTGCCCTGCCCCCCCCCCCCCCCCCACACTCCCTCCTCACCGTATTTTATTGGCGGCAGCAGGATTCAGTGGCTAC